ACGTAACAATATGACCGAGTTGCGAAAACAAGTTCAAGAGACTTCTATATAACGAAAGGAGACTGCGACCACACAAAAAGCCACACCATCTTGGTCTTCATACCTTCGATTAATTATGACTTTCTTCATGCTGTCAAGGGCAAGTCAAGGATTTTAGTTATACACGTTAGATAGCCGTATTAGAATTATTCAAATCTAAAATCAGCCGAATACATCTGATTGGTTTACATCTGATTACTATTTTTTGCATGTATTACCTCAACTCACCCTACAGCGCTATTTATCTGCCTGCCGAGAACGAGTGAAGTGTACTGCCGATGCCTTTGTTGGCGCTATTTTGCCTACGTCAACTGGATCTACGCTTTGCCGAATTAAGAACGAGATTCTAGAGCAATCCAGCATGTAAGGCCTTTTCAAACAGTATTTAGATGTATTCCTATTTTAATTCATGCCAACCTGCCTTAGCATGTCTTTTTTGACTACCTTCCTCTGTTGAACCTCACTTTCTTGTACCTCATTTGGGCTCAATTTTATTATCTACCCTATACTCTTCTGATATTTAAATTGCTATAAATTCTTATTCATTTATGCCAAGTAACTCGCTAATTACTTAAGTCCAGTTGCTGATTTCTCAGGTCCGAAACGAATCATAGACGGTTTTTTTGCAGTCTATTTTCTGATCGAGCAAGAATGAGAGACTTAATATGTCAGGAATAATAAAAACCCGCAGGTTCTTTGAATAAAAGTTGAAGTGTATTTCTGAGAAACCGGAAGTCCTATTTTTGTTTCTTGGCTCAAATATGAGGCTTTAGGTATGTAGAAAAACTGTGTTTCGAAAAATCCCTTAATAAGAGTTTCGCACTCCAAAATGATCTCTAATGATCATTACTCTTCGTTTTCGTTATTTATGTATAGAGATAATCGAAATAGTGCCGTTTTTTATATCACTCTTCATGCGTGTATTTTTCTCATCAAAAGCCACTATTTTATTTTCTCCTAACTAAACCGGTTTTTAATAGCTATCTACTGCTAGTTGTTACAACTTATATATACTCATAACTAAACACGAAAATGAGTAGGCATAGATAGGTATAGGATGGTTTGGCTAATTATCTTTCATACTAGTCTGTTTATTTTTGCTCGAGTGTATATATATATATATATGTGTATGTTTGTGTGCTAACGTCTACACGCAATACCAATCCTAAATCATAGTGATAAAAAGGCTAATGTCAGGCTCTGGTCATCAAAACTTGATGACCTAAGAAAAAGCCCTGACTGAGACTTCGTAAGTTCGTAAACCAATATGGTTAGGATAATGAGATGTAATCTTGTAATTTTGTAAGCCAAATTACGGAATCAATTGTCCTACTCTTTTAGTCTAGGGTCATTTAGATTAAATCATCCAAGGAAAGGCATGACCGAGGCTGCATTATCTCGTAAGTCCTTCTTCATTGATGAGATTAATATAACATATTGGACGAGTGTGGGTGAAGTTAGAACCATCACTGAGTGGATAATTTGAGTCGCCCTCTTTTGGATAGTGATTTAACACCCTCTCTCTTTAAATCTATCAATTAAGTATAAGTATTGTTAGGGGGACCTTCATTTCCTATGAAAGTGCATTAATAAGAGATTCGTTGGTCGATCTCACCAGGACGGATGAAACTCATTGTACTGCAGCCGGTTGGATTTTATACGATATTCATGTTGACTACGGGACTTCTTTTCTCGTTTCGGGTGAAAACGTGCTGAGCTTTCGTCCATCATGTGATGGACCTCATCAGAGCTGGGTGTCATTCTTTTAAAAGTCAAATTTTAAGGCTAGGCCAAGAAGCTCAGCCTAGCTAAACCACTCTATATCCAA